TCACATGTGGCATTTTCGCTTAGGTTTTCCAAACAAAAATTGTTTGTGCATTTACAAAATATGTTTCTGTAAGAAGTACGTAGTGCTGATTATGTCTAAAACGAATTCCCATATGTGCTTGGAAATCAGCGAATTTTACTTTGCTTGGAAGCTCTGTGCTCTAGTGGTCAGAGTTCCGGGCTACAGATCCAGAGGTCCCGGGTTCGATTCCTGGCGCTACCAGATTTCCTGAGAAGTAGTGTGTCTGGAACGGGGTCCACTGAGCCTCGTGAGGATAAGTGAGGAGCTATTTCATATAGCGGCTCCGGTCTAGGAAACCGAAATTAACGGCCGTGGGGATTCGTTGCGCTGGCCACGTGACACCCTTTATCCACTAAAGTTGGCACTAACTTCGCCGACAAGCGGCGGTCTCTTGGTCGGTATAGTTCGCTTGCGGACTAAAGCCAAGGAGTTTGTAGTTTTGTTTTGTTTGGAAGTAAAAGACGGAAAACTTTCCTATAGGTTTGTCTACACTAATAAGCACGGGCGCCGCAAATATTCTTTTTCACGAAGGGACGTAGAAGAGTAAATTTTTTGATAATTCATTTTTGGAATTATTATTTGGTACAGTCCCTTCTTTTTTCAATTTTAACTTTTCAGAAGTTCAGGTAGGGGCAGATATTTGACTTGTCCTACTGCTGATACCCATGTTAATAAGCTTGATTATTTGAAATGTTCAAAAAGTGTTAAATGTTACCAAATAAAATACAGTAGCTGTCTTTTCTCCAGTGTATTTCACTGGTAAATCTTGCCTACTTTAAATCGTTTTACACCATACGCGGTAATAAATATTCATAAATAGATCCTGGTTAATTCGGATGTTCTACATGACAGACATTAATTAATACGGGCTAATCATTGGCTCTTGTGTAGAATTCCTCGAGCAACGGTTAAATGATAATCCGAAGTGCTATTGTCACTGCTTATTCTTGGAAGAAGGTAATACAACATACACATACTTTATTCGTGTGTTCTTTTCTTATAAGATTGCAAATAATGAATCTCTACCTATTAAGTCTTGCTGCGCGTGTCGACATTCATTTGTTACTGCAGCAGTAGGTCTCGTTGATTTCCACGTGACCCCAGAGCGGGGGCACATGGCGATCGTGTGACTGCATGACGTCATTGAGCATCGGCACGTGTGGCGAGGCGTGGAAACAACCGACTGCTCATTTGCGGAACAGCGGCTGTTGTGGCCGCGTTAGTTCTTGGTTTAGTGACTTTTGTTGATTTACAGTGGCCCAGTCTGGAAGTTAAACACATATAATCGGATATTTGGATAAGTGAAATATTGTCTAATGTTCATCTACAGACAGAACAATGATGGAATCGTCGGCAGTTTGGGAAGATTCGTCATCTGTGCATCAGCATGTGAAGTTCGAAAGGTGCGAGCTAAGATTAATATGCATTTTATATCATTATGCATTAGTAGCCACCCATTCGTGGGTATTTTTACGTATCGTGAATTTAGTTGGAAATCAAAAGGTTCTAAAATGCAGGCTGTAATGTACTAAGTTATTTTACTAAAATTCCACTTATGTTGAGGTGCTTTATAGTATAATTATATATACACACGTTTCACGTAAAGTGTTTTGATAAGAACAGGTTACCAGAGCGGTACCATGTGCTGCAAGTCACACACTTGAAGAAATCCCTCTGCCCCATTTAAAACAGCTCGTATAATGTTTACGTGTATAAGTGCCGTAGTAAAATAATGGATACCGTCTTTAAGGTCCTAAATATTTCTTCTGAAGAATGGCCTAAAGAGAATTTTGTACGTCTTCCTCCCCTCTCCCCCTCCCCCTTTCCAAACCCTCCGCCTGCTCTTGTTGCCGTTCATTGGTTTCTTCTCCGTATGTTTTAACTCCGACTTCTTCCTAACGTTTATAATGAACTACTGCCTGTTAATATATTAAAGGAAAATTTTAAATGAAAACCACTGACTCACGTGGAATGTATAAACGTGAAGAGTAGGCCAGGTTACTAGATTCGTTCTGCAATAAACATGAAGCTGCAGTATGTACACATTTGAAATATGTCGTGAAAGCTGAAATGTGCATATGTGTTTATTCGTATGTAAACATTATTCGAATGTTTCCAACATACGGGACATTGTTTCATACAGTTTGGACATTATTGATTGGATTGGATTTTGTTGATGACGTCACGTTCACACCCATTGATCCTCCGTGCAAGGTATAAGTAACTGTAAAGTGTATGTCACGTGAAGATTTTTTCCGCCACGTCACTCACGTGATCACAGTGTGTTCCAAGGACGTCTAAGGTTAGTCTGTGTATTCAGCACAGTGATTTGCCGGTGCAGACGTAACTGATTGGCGGGAAAGATTTTATTATTATCAGTCAGTGTATAATCAGATGAAGTATTCGCTATTAAGAGATGCAGTTGTTTTATTTGTATTTTAACCTGTTACGATCTGCATCCAGGTTCGTCGTAAGAAAAATTAATGTCACAAATTTTTCATCTTCGCGTTATTAAGAATATTTGTGCAGTCTTTTGTCTTCCGCGAAAATATTCAGTAGGAGAAGCAGTTTAATATACTCGTAGGTTTTGGTGTCCAAAGGAAAGAGAGCATGGATGCCACAGGGGGTTGGCGTTTTCATCAACAACGGAGTGTAGTCGTCATGCCCATATTTTTCTCTTTCAAACGAAAAATTCCGAAACAGATCTAGGAACATAAAAATCAGCATTCACACCCGGAGTTCAATAGACAAGAGAAAAATTCATTTTGTGTTAGCAGGTCTACCAGTTTGTGTCAACGATATTTAGCTATCAGCTCTAGTTTTGCTGGCTTAAAATGTTAAAAATTTACAGTTCTCACCCTTTCGAAACAGCACAATAGTACGAAGGCTGTCGCCCGTTGTAATACCAGTATTTGAAAATTCTGAACGCAGGCTTCGAGAAATTAAAATATTTTAACCTAGCGTCTTTGTCGAAACAGAGTAATTGAATTCCAATTTGGAACAAAATTTCTTTTGATCCGTTTATTCGCTCTATCACTGTTTTCTAAACTTGTGGCGTTTTGTCGTTTTATATTCACCAAGGGGCACACTACTGTGTTCTCCAAGCCGGAAGGTCGCCGGTTGGACTCCGATGTCATTCGATTTTTCATTTTACCTAATCCTTCTAGCTGCATTGTGGCCCTGGGGTCGACTCAGTCTCTAACAGAAATGAGTATCAGACATCTTGTGGATAAAGGATAGCCAGCTCGTAAGGCTGACAGTCTCACCGCTGTGAGCCGATTGTCTAAAAAACGTGGGAGCCTCGACGTCTCACAACCCTGTGGGCATCCACGGCCTCTTACAGGGTAGCTTTACCTTTTTATATATATTCATCTAAAAGTATCATCACCCTTTCAGTTTTGATCGTTAAAAATACATAAATCGAAAACAAATTACATATCCTAATGAGGTAACGTCTTACCACTTTTGTTACATAACGTTCTGTTTCCAAGATGAAGAATATTGAAATTGAAGTATTGGATTTGGAGGGTGCAGCAGTTAATGTGCTCGTCACATGCTTGCTGTCTTTCCGAATGGGGGGAACAGTATTTATGTCGCCCCATGAACACTGTTGACCAAATGAAGCACCTTAAAAGAAAGTCGAGAGTCATTCCATCACGGCCAGCCACTGTATTTCTTGAAATCATACATCAGCAATTTCAGCCTGCCACTCGAAACTTTCAGGAGCTATATCAACGCAGGTGTCTGAAATACTAAACGTAGCATATCGGGTCATTTTCGCAATGAATGATACGTTACAAACATGGTGTACTTACGAATTGCTTATTTTTCCTATTGTGACGATGTCGTGAACGTTTTGAAATTTATTGTAATGAAAAATAATGATTAATATGCCTACAATTTTAGAAACTTTTTTCGTAAGTTATATAGTTGAAATGCCAGCACAGCAGTAATATTTCATAATTATTTCAGCCTTCCGGAAATTATGTACGTATTGTCACGAGTTAGAGTGACTGTCGACGGGTTTATGGATGGGGGATATTGGATTTGTTGACCACTTTAACACACAACTCATAACTACACTTAATTATAGCGCCGTCGCAAATTTCCACACTTTACAGTTCACTACAGCACACGCCAAGTCTTTTGCAGCCCTCAGTGTCTTCATTAGTAGTTGCCTGTTAACGGCTTCTAACAGTGGCTATTTCTCTGCTTCCGGGTCCAAGTCCTCTCTGAATGGCGGCTGTCAGACTCCTGCCTTCCTTGCAATTGACTCGCTGCCATTTGACACCAACATCGTAGTCTTCACTTCACCGCCTATCACCTGACTTAACTCTAACCTTGTCCCTTGCTTATAACATCTCGGCAAGGACCACGTATAAACACCATTCATCTGTTGCATGCGTATCCGTTGCCGCGGGAACGTGTTTACCGAGCTGTTCCATAGCAGTTTATTCTTGCTTATTACGAATCTGCTGCCTGGCAGACGGTGTTCCATCTGTTTGTTTCGCGGTGGTTGTCAAGAAACGAATGTTGTTTAAGAGCCGATCGCTAGCAACGGCTGTTTCTCAGGCTTCACAGTTCCTGCTTTGAACAAATACTCGTATGCCACAGTATGTACATTATAAGCTCACAAGCACCTAGACATGACGTATCAAAACAGAAAAATTAGATCCTTGAATTTTTTTAAGTTGATTCTAACAACAGACCGCCTCTGTGGTCTAGTGGTCAGAGTTACTGACTACAGATCCAGAGGTCCCGGATTCGATTCCCGACGCTACCAGATTTTCTGAGAAGTAGTTGGTCTGGAACGGGGTTCACTCATCCTCGTGAGCATAATTGAGGAGCTATTTCAAGGAAATAGCGACTCTGGCCTAGAAGACCGAAATTAGATTCGTTGCGCTGACCATGCGACACCCTCTGTCCGCTAAAGTTGGCACTAACTTCGCCGACAAGCCGCGGTCGCTCAGTCGGTATAGTTCGCTTGCGGATTACAGGCCACGGAGTTTTTTTTCTGTTTCAATATAATAATGGCAACAAAATTTTATTTGTTCTCTAAGATGTACTGTTAGCTGGTGTGCATTTAGTTTTACCTAGACTAGGCTTGCTGTCATCGTTCTGCCAAGAATGCCTTCAGGTAGTCACCAAAGCATTATCTCTCCATACCAGTAGGCTTTTTCTACAGCAGTGTTTCTCGCAGTCCATGGATTTATCATGCTTAGTTATATTCCACGTTGAAACGTAGGCCTTTAGCTCTTTCTCCTTTGTTCTTTTTTTTTTTTGGTGGCAAGCTCGAGAGGTCACTTTGCAGAATTCTACTTAACTACTCGTTCTGTATATTAGAACTCTGCCTCTACAGCTTTACAACAGCGATTTCAGTTCACGTTAAATATAGTTGAAGGTAGAGTACGTAAATTCATGTAGATTCCTCCATATGTTATACCTGTTGATGTGTAACGCTGCATTGTCGACTGCTAGTTTAACCCACAAAAAATATATTAAAATTCCAATGACCAACATTTTAATCTCAATAGTTAGAAATATCGAAGGTTTATTATATTTTCATTTATGTCAAATGTATTAGATTCCCGATCCAGTGACCGCACGCGTTAAATGGCCCACGCATATCTTTTCTTATTTATTTAATCAATAGCATTTACGGTCTACTCTCTATAATATGGAGTATCAAGTGTATAGAAAACTGCATCACAACGTATAATGGTTTAAGAGTTTTACTGTTCGGCGTCTTTTATTTCATTCCAGGTATAGCGCCACCGACGGCTGTTCATCCAGGCCTTGTAAAGAAGAACAGAGTATCTTCAGGTACTGCGACGGGTGAGTGTTCACACTGAGGTTTCAGTATCTGACGTTTTGGAAACTCTTGGTCTCTAACACATTTTTAGCATATATGCTCATATTGTATTTATGCCAGAATGCAACCAATAGGCCGCTTTTTTCTGAGAGATTTGTACCCTCTCATACGTGCGATAGAGAAAAGCTGATATTGTATTGTTTCTTTGTTTTGTTTTGATCTAAATGATGTGATGTACTCCTATGTGAATCGAAAAACCATAAAGCAAAAAAAAAAGTCATACCACCCCAAAGAAGGGGAGCCGGAATAGCGCAGTCGGTGTAGCGACTGGCTACGCGCTGGACGACCCAGCGGTCGGAGTTCGAGTCCCGGTAGGGTCAAGAATTATCTTTTCTCCACGTCGTCCAGACCGGCTCTGGTGCTCACCCAATATCCTATCCAGTGGGTACCGGGGGCTCTTTTCCCTGGTGTAAAGCGACCGGGTTGTGAAGCTGACCATTCCCAACTAGTGCCGAGTTCAAGAAAATGTGGAGCTATACATCCACTCCCCCATACGCAATCATGGCGTAGTGCTTAATTAGTTAAACACTGGGACAACTATACATATTTACCACAAAGAAGTAACAAAACGACCCCGACAAAAAATGCACGTAAGAAGCAAAGGCACCATCGCGGTCGTCCGGCTCGCATCCAGCACATGAACAGGCTTGTTTCCGCCTAATGCAGGTGGGACTGCTTGTGGGTAAATAACATTGCACAGTACGTATCTCACAATCATAACCCAGAAATTCTTGCCACATAATTCGCATTTCATTTTGTCCAGTATTACATTAAAATATCGCCATATTTATTGTTGTCCATGTTGTTCAGTAGGCACGTCAAACCCATTGCAACATGAGGGTCACACTGCGATAATGAATGGTCAGCATTCCTGCTTCTTATTTGGAAGGTGCCGGGTTTAAATCTCGTCACTTCAGTAAGTTGATTTTTTAACGACGCTATCAGTTTCGATACTATGTATCGTCCATGACAGGATGATTAATGAATTCGAAGCGGCTGATGGAATAATAATTGGCAGCAGAAAACGAATTAATTTTATAAAACGTGCCCCAGGTTCTCTTTGTCCACCAAAAATTCCACATGACCTGACTTGGGATCTAACTCGGGTCTTGGCACCGGGAAGCCGACGACGACCTCCCTGGGCTGTGGCAAGGCCAAAACGTCACTGAGTTTGGCTGTCCCAATTCAAATTTTTCGTGTTTTTCTCCAGTCCGACAGGCAGATTCCAGTATTTGGTCATATCCTCTTCCTTCCACATCGTTTTCATTTCACAAATACCGTACCATTCAACGCCGTATAATGTGAGGCACCACTAAGACCACTTAAAAAAAGATGTTACTTTAGCTCAGATACGCAAAGGCTAAGGGTGTCAACTATGATTACCTCATTTATTCTGTCACTGGAATAGTTTCCTTCCTTTCCACTCATCTTACGCATATTGGGTCACAATTCTTGAACCGATGCTGCCATCACCGTGCAAAGTGCGTATTGTTGACTTTGATCTCTCGTGAGAAATTTTTCTTTTCATGAACGAAAACAGATGTTCATACACGTGAGAACTATCAAATATCACACACATTTGGCATGAAATTGGGATAATTTGGGGGAATCAGTCAGAACAACAGTTCGGCACGTTTACTGCACAAGAGTTTGGTTTACAGATTGAGTTTAAAACTGAGTTTGAGAACGTTTCGATGAGTTCCCATCTATAGCTCTTCAACCTACATTTTTGGCATCAATATTAAATGTTGCGATGGACATATCAAATTTTACTTCACAAGAGTTTGAAATCTTGAGATTTTGCATCATTTTCACTCCAAGAAGAAGATTCCAATAAGTATATTGTGCATAGTCGTTGAACATGAGATAATGGTTGACTCAGACCGAAGTATTTGCAAGTTTGAAAATGCACCAAATACACGTACCTTTCTTTATTTGGAGTTGTGTATGAAAAGTGTGTCGTACACGGTCATACATAGTTTATTGTTACCATGAAGGTGCTTGTTCAACCCACATTGATGCCATGTGATGTAAACTGAAAAGACAAGGTCTTAATACATTTAATGTCAGCCACATTTTGTTCTTCACTTCTAAGAATGTAATGACTTCGCTTTTTTTAAGTCATAAAAACTGTTCAGCACCTTGCGACAAGACAGTCTCTGTGTGATACGGTAACTATTCTTATTGTCTTCTTAACGTTATGAAGAAAAAATAAATACAAACTGCCTATGATTTAAGCCTTGGGAACGTACACATTTTGAAATTGATACTACGCCTGAGCTGGTTTACTTGTAGTATTTTACCATTCAGTACGACCTGGTGAATTATGCAACGAAAATTTTAATTTTTGCCTTCACGTTTTTCATTCGTTTTCCCCAGAGTACCATTCTTGAAACGAGTTCCTGCAAGAGAACCATCTGTCACTGAACATACAGGTTTGTAAAGTATGACTTCATTCTTTGAAAGTACTTTCTCCAATTCACAGAAAGTGTGTTCAACAGTAGTAGTACCATGCATTGAAATTGCTACTGTGTGGACTTGGAACTGTTTACTGAATGCTATGAATTGGCTATTGGCAAGGTCATTCACGAATTCAGCCACTGTGTTTCTAGCCAGACCAGTCCTTCCTTTCCTAAGAGAACATAATTTTTGGGGGTCAGTTAAGCACCCTTGAATAGAGTGTCCTTCTGCAGCGAACGTTTATAGAGCGTAATGCAGTTAAATGAGATAATTCATAACGTGCTTTTACTTCTACTTTCTTTGTTTTATTAACTGCGTGAAAAACATTCTGTTCCTTTTTTTACCGTAATTTCGTTTTTCACAGTTTTCATCTCCTGCACTTCCCTAACAACCCGTCATATCATTTCTTGCGAACTTCATAATGGCGCTTGATATTGTAATCTTTACAAATGCTGGCTGTTCGCAAATGAGTCGCAAGATATTGTCTTCAACTTTGGAGAAAAAGTATTGGCTCACACACTTATCTTGAAACAGAAGATCCTCTTTTTCTGTTTTACGCTCTGTACTTGAACATGGCTTTTAGACACAAGAAAATAAAGGTTTAGACCAATATTTATTTATATCCGTGTATGCGCATATGACAGTCAAGTCAAGAAACGTGTGTTTCTGTAGTTCCGATAAAAGCTGCTGTGAAATGGCCCGCGCGAGTGAAATAATGCTTTAGCACGAAGTTTAGCCTAGTTGGGCAACATTGGAATCACAGCAGAATGACTGACACGACAGAAATAGGCAAATTCTGTTTCAGTCTCCACGTATTTTTATCATTGATTTTAAAGTGCGGCTAGGTACAAGAGTCTCAAATGGCTACATTTAAGGCTCATAAATCGTGGCATTTTGTATGTGTACAAATAGCCTATTCTGAGTGAATTTTGTACATTTTTGCACGTCCAGTGCAGCACAGGGAGAACTTAAAAGGGCATAATTTTCTGGGTTGTAACGCCTTGTGCGTAGTTCGGTAAAAGTCCACAGACGTTTCGGAGGAACGTATCGCTTTTATCCTCCTGGTCGAAGAGTGTGCCGTGAAAGAAAGTAGGCAAGCTCATGCTGCGAACAGAATAACATAACAGTAACAGTAACAGTAACAGTAACAGTTCTGTTGCTCTAGATATCCATTCAGCAGGAAAGTGATCTTTACGAGTTATGCTCGGACATTGAAAGAAAATAATTAAATTGAATTGTTGGTTGTTAAAGGAAGAAGGGTCCCCCTGGCATCTGCAACTTTTAAATGCAATATTTTTCGATATGGTGAATGTTTAACGAAGTGAAATTAGCTTTACAATAATATTGTCACGTATCCTAGTAACGCGACAAGAAATGAATGGGTTCCAGATTAGACGAAGCTGTTTATTGGATGTTGGTTACAATTGCAATTGCAACCATTCAGAAATAACCCCTTCCATGCGATATAACCTGAATAGTCTGTCGTCTCTGCTTCTTAGCTGAGCTGGTTTCTTCTCTCAGCTCTCTGCTCCTTTCGCCTCTGTTCTCCTATGTTCCGTTCTGTTCAAAGTCACAGTCACATTGCGACTGACGGTCGGTCAGTCAATCAATCAGTAAGTCTTGGTTTCGACGCCCATCTGGGGCTTATGACCAGATACTTATTACTGTTTGATAGTTACTTTCTTGTATTTTTGGGACGCCCTCTCTGCGGACGGGTCTGTCTTCTGTATATGCTGCTGGCTCTTGCTAGCGCAGCCTGTCTCGTATCCGAGTACGTTAGGACTCGCCTCCACACGGGTTCTGGTCAGTTATAACCGACAGTCGGACGGTCTAGAAGACACCTTGTTCAAGGGTTCGTTTCGCATGTTCCTTGCACCGGTAGCTAGTGTATTCGTTGCCGCGGAAACTGCACTAGTTCTGGTTTCCATTGCCGTGGTAACGGTCTGTTATGTATGCGTTGTCTCGGGAATGTGCATGAACGTTTGCCTAGCAAAATTGATAATTCTTTGTCTGGCTCCACTGTTCCGGCTTTAGGGCAGTGTTTACCGAGCGTTGCTCAGCAGTGGTCTGTTCCGGCTTGTTGTCCCGGCCACGTGTTTTAATAAGCAGTTGTCTAGCAATGGACGCCCGCTCTTACTGAGATATTCCGGCTTTTAGGCGACACGCCACAATATGATGGTGTAAATTAACAGTAAAGTCAGTAAAATTAGCAAAATAGCAAAGAACACGTTTGCAAAATATGTGCCTTCCAAGGTGGAGTAGGCGTATACGTTTCAAGTCTTCCCCCCCGCCACGTCTGCTTTAAGGGCACTATCGTCTGATTTGTGAAGACAGTGAATGATAAACATTGATTTGCATATCATACTTATAGTGAAGTCCGTGTTTGTTGACATTTTATCCTTCAACGGGTATTTCCACATCAGCGTGCCATTGCCGTCCAGTAATAATCAAGCGACTTGCTGTAATATCACGTGAGGTATTATCTGTAGGATCCGTGGTATTG